CATGTGGGCGGTAGCACTTGTGCCGCCCGTAGAGCTCCCTACGGGGCCACGAAACGCTATACTGGGGGGGGGGGCGCATGCGGGCGTTAGCACTGGCGCTGCCGGTGGAACTCTCTTTTTGGGGCCACGAAGCGCTGTGCTGGGTGGGGGGACGCATGCGGACTGCGCCACTGGGGCCTTCGGTGGAGCTTCCAATGGGGCCACGGAGCGCTGTACTGGGGGGGGTGGGGGCGCATCTGGGCGGTAGCACTGGGATGGGCGGTAGCACCTGGGGCCTTCGGTGGAGCTCCCCGGGGGGGCACGAGATGTGTGAGGGGTGTGCCGAAGTGAGGAGGGTGACTGGAGGGGAAGGATGGGGGAGGAGGAAGGAAGAGAAGAGTGAACGCGGGGCGCTGTCTCTTCCAAGCGAGGACCCAACGCCTCAGGATGGCTTGGGGGAACAAGAAGTGTCTGTATTTGTGGACTCAGAGTTGCCATGGTCCGATGCGCAGCAGCTCGCCCGGGGAACCGAGGTCCCGGCTCTCCATGAGGCGGGGGCCCGAGAACGTCCATCGTTACCGACCATCTCCTGGGCCTCCTCCTCCTCCTCCCCCTCCTCCTCCCCCTCCCCCTCCTCCCCCTCCTCCTCCTCCTCCTCCTCCTCCTCCTCCTCCTCCTCCTCCTCCTCCACCTCTTCCTCCTGCTCCTCCTCCTCCCCTCCCTCCCTCCTCCTCCTCTCTCCCTCCTCTCTCCTCCTCCTCCTCCTCCTCCCCCCCCTCTCCTCCTCCTCCTCCTCCTCTCCTCCTCCTCCTCCTCCTCCTCCTCCTCGTCCTCGTCCTCGTCCTCGTCCTCGTCCCCGCGGTGGATACAGTGAGCGGCTCGAATAAGGAGCACTTGCTTTTCAAAAGGGGCTCGGTCGTTCCTTAGGTCTGCATGCGGTATTTATCGTTCCTCATGCGTTATGTGTTATTCAATCGCTTCGCTCATTCCGCCGGCCCATATTGCAGCATCACTGGCGCTTGCCTGCGTGCCCGGGGGGTATTTGGGGGGCCTCCTGGGGCCGGTTGGGGGGCCTCTTGGGGGCATCCTGAGGGCTTCTGGGGGGTCTCTTGGGGCTTCTTAGGGGTTTTAGGGCTACCCGGGGGCTTCGTAGGGCCGTGGGCTCGAAATGTCGTTTCGGGTCCCCGCCCTGGGGCCCTCTTGAGGCGTTCTTTTGGTTTTCTTTCCAGGATGGTTTCTGATGGGTTCCAGGGCTTCTGCAGGATTCCAGAGCTCGTGGAGTGTTTCTGGAGGGTGCCTGTATGGCTCCTTGGGGGGCTTCGGTTTCTAGAAGGTGCTCGCTGGTTTCCCGGAGGTTGGGGGGGCTCGTAGAGGTCCTGCAAGAGCTCCACGGGGCCCGCTGCGCGGAAGAAGGTGAAAGCAATGTAACCGACCCGGACGCAGCGATTGCTGGAAGACGGAGGGTGCGACGTCGGGTCGGCGGAGCGCTGAGCCATTGAGGGGAAAGTGAAACGACATGTAGGGGTGTGATTTGACGGATCCAGAGCAAGGAGGGCTGGAAGAAAAAAACCTTCGCTGATGCTCTGGCGGTTGGCCAGATTGTAGCATCGCTGGCGCTTGCTCGCGTGCTCGGGGGGGCATTTTGGGGGCCTCCTGGGGCCGCTTGGGGGCTTCTTGGGAGCTTCCTGAGAGCCTCTGGGGGGTCTCTTGGGGCCTCTTAGGGGCCTCTTGGGACCTCCTGGGGGCTTCTTGGGGCCGAGGGCTGGAAATGTTGTTTCGTGTTCCCCCTCTTGGGGCGTTCTTGGGGCCCTCTTGGGCCGTCTTGGAGACCTCTTGGGCCGTCTTGGAGCCCTCTTGGGCCGTCTTGGGGCTCTCTTGGGGGCCTCTTAAGCCCTCTTGGGGCGATCTTGGAGTCGTCTTGGGCTGTCTTGGGGCTTCGGGAAGCGGAAAAGGTGGAAAAGCCAAAATATGTCCAAAACCTAAGGAAAAGCAATGAATTTTGCCTCTTGGGGCCCTCTTGGGAGTACGCTTGGAGACCTCTTGGAGCGTCTGGGGGCCATCTTGGGCGTCTTGGAGCGATCTTGTGGCATCTCGGACGCCTCGTGTACCATCTTGGGGACCTCTTGCGGGCCTCTTGGTTTTGTTTGGGTCCTCGGGGACGTTTTCGGAGCCCTGTTGGTGCGCTCGTGGAGCGCTCGGGGGGACCCGGCCGGGGACCGGCCGGGACCTGGTCGGGGTACTTTTCGTCTGGGGACCCCCAGGGGCCGCCCCGCGCGCGCGAAGTAGAAACATTGTAGAGCAGTTACCGGAGATCTTAGCACGCCTCTGGCCCGTTGGGCCGGCGAATTGATCGCTCCTTACGCGTTATTCCGTAGGAAAAAAGTGGCTTCGTTCCGTATTTATCGTTCCTTAGGGCAGGCCGAGTATTGTACGTACAGATCCCAGGCTCGGAATGGGCACACATCAAGTGCGCTCTTGCCGTTGCCGCTGCAGCTCCCCCGGGGCTGTCAAGCCCGCGGCCTAAGAGAGGTCATCGCAGACTGCAGCAGCCGATCTCTCTCTCTCTCTCTCTCGCTCTCTCCCTCTCTCTGCCCTTTGGGCCTTTTCGGATCCCGGTCTACTTCAAGCGCCCTCCTACTCCAAGAGCCGAGGCGCTTCTGCTGTGTCCATTGGGAGGGCGTGAGCCCACTCTGCTTTCGTAATAAAGGGAAGGGGGTCTCATTTCGGGGGGGGGTCTTTTCCAGGCTATCTTGGAGGGCCTGGGGGGTCTGGGGACGATGTTTTGGAGGGTTCTCCCACGGGGGAGGTCTGAAATGGCTTGTCGTGGAGGGTCCAGACCCCCTCCCTTTTATTACGAAATCTGGAGTATCCTGCGTCATGCTTTCACCCACTTCTTCCAGCCGACGCGTGCGGAGAGAGCGGGGTTGCGCTGCCCGACAGCAGGGCCTGCTCCTCCGGAGCAGGACTCGCTGCCCGCGCCGCCGCGGGCGTTGCCCACTCGAGACAGCAGGCCGCCTGTCCAGCGGCGGCCGCTGCCGATGCTCCGAGCTCGGCGGCGGGAGTGGTCCCGCCGTCCCCCAGGGCGCCCGGGTCGGGGGCAATCGCCCGGAGGCGGGCCTGGGTCTCAGCGGAGCGGCCTGCAGGGCCAGCCCGCCGCTGGTGCTCCTCACCGTGAGCGCAGCCTTCCCCTCGTCCGCCTTGCTGTGCCCCCCTGCGGTAGCGCTTGTTGTTGGGAGTCGTGCCCCCCTTCTTCCGTGCCCATGCCGGGCGTCCAAACAGGAGCCGGAAACGCGAGGCCGCGCGCCGTTCTGGCGATCAGCCGCCGCGTGGCGTGCTAAGCTGGCCCTCGCCCTCTCCCGCGCGCTCCGCGTGCGAGTCTGGCCACTTGTGCCTCTAGCGTCCCGACGCGGTCGGCAAGCACGCCCGCTCGGACAAGTCGATCCGGGGATTTCGTGTGGGCCCACGGGGTAAAGGGAAAGGAGCAGGATGCAGTCCCATGACTGCTTCCAAGACTCTCCAGATCTTCCACTGTTCCACGCGGGCTGCAGAAGCGAGGGCCTCGAGGCACTCCAGAGTTCCTGGAACGTATCCTGAGCCAATCGTATCGTGGGATCGTTCTCGTCCTGCCAGGTGGGTGGGGCACCGGACGAGGCCAGGACGAAGACAACAATTCGTTCCAGATTGCTCCGAAACGCCCCCAGAGCGTCTCGGAAGGCTCTGAGAATGCCGCGGCGTCCGATGCAGATCCTGCAGAGCCGCCGGATTTCAGAGTTTCTCGATTTTCTTCGAGTTTCAGAGTTTTTCGAGGAGGAGGAGGAGGAGGAGGAGGAGGAGGAGGAGGAGGAGGAGGAGGAGGAGGACGATGAGGAGGCCTCCGCCTGCCACCGATCGGCAATCGCGCCCTGTGCCGCGCGGGGCGCCGGCCGGGCACCCTGTCGTCGAGCCTCGTCGCCCCCAGGTTGCCAGAGTGGCTGTTCTCCCCCCCTTTCTTTCTCCTCCGCCCTGCCTTCTGCTCCCGCCCCCGAGGAGGAGGAGGAGGAGGAGGAGGAGGAGGAGGAGGAGGAGGAGGAGGAGGAGGAGGATGGAGGAGGAGTAGGAGGAGGAGGAGGAGAGGAGGAGGAGGAGGAGGAGGAGGAGGAGAGGAGGCAGGGGAGGAGGAGGAGCGAGGGGGAGGAGGAGGAGGAGGAGGAGGTGGAGGGGAGGAGGAGGAGGAGGGGGAGGAGGAGGGGGGACGTGGAGGATGGATGAGGGGAGGAGGAGGAGGAGTAGGGGGAGTAGGAGGGGGAGGGGGAGGGGAGGAGGATGAGGAGGAGGATGAGGAGGAGGAGGGAGGAGGAGGAGAAGGAGGAGGAGGAGGAGGAGGAGGGAGGAGAGGAGGAGGAGGAGGAGGAGGAGGAGGAGGGAGGAGGAGGAGGAGAGGAGGAGAGGAGGAGGAGGAGAGGAGGAGGAGGAGGAGGAGGAGGAGGAGGAGGGAGGAGGAGGAGGAGGAGAGTGATGAGGAGGGGGGGGAGGAGGACTAGGAGGAGGTGAGGAGGAGTATGGAGGAGGAGGAGGAGGAGGAGGAGGAGGAGTATGGAGGAGGAGGAGGAGGAGGAGTGCTTTCCTGCTCCTCCCCCCTCCTGGCCTTCACTCCTCCCTGCTCCCTTCCCTCTTCGCGCCCAGGGCCAGCCTGGGGCAGCGGAGGCTGCCCCCCCGGGCGGGCATTGCCCAGGGCCAGCCTGGGGCAGCGGAGGCTGCCCTGTGCTCAGCCAGCGGTTCCGCAAGCTCTGCAGGGCGTCGTACTCAAATCAGAGTGGGGACAGCATGACCACGGAACTATGTTCGCCAGCGGTACCGCGCACAGTACAGTGGACATTCTTCGGGCTAGTCTCACGAGCGTGCGTCGTCCAACCGCAGATGTGCACGATGTTTCGGGCGAGCGCCCGCACACCTCAGTGTGTATACGTGCGGCTCCCACGGACGCCTCCCTCCTCCCTCCCCCTCTCCCCTCCCCTCCTTGTTAAGAAGCCGTGGCCCGCAGAATGGAGATGGTCGACCCCACCGACACGGGCATGGGCCCCAAGGTGCTAGGCAAGCCGGAGCCCAACGTCCCCTACTACTACGACTGGGGTACCACGGAGGATTCGGGCACTCCCATCGGCGGCGCCGAATCGATCCAGCAGTTCGAGCATCCCCAGGACGCACTCGCCGCGAGGGCCGGCTGATGATGAGGAGGGGGAAAAGCGAGAGGAGGCCATTGGCAGGATAACTGAGTGGAGGGGGGTCGAGGACACGAAGGCATAGATGAGGGCTCGTGGATTGGCGGCGGGTCCCGCTCTTCCATACGAAATCGGAGCGCTCCGTCGCCAAATGAGGCGGTACTGGCCTCATGCTTCAGGGGGTACTTTCCCCGATCCCATGTGCCAGATCCACGGATCCGTAATCCGTAATCCATGTTAGCGTGTGCCAGAGAGTGGCATATAGAGGCGGAGGAGGAGGAGGAGTGGCAGAAGAAGGCGGAGGAGGAGGATGCGGAGGAGGAGGAGAAGTTGGAGTGAGAAAGGGCGGATGATGAGTGAGAGAGGGGGGATGAGGTGGAGGAGGAGGAGCAGCAGCAGGAGGGGGAGGAGGGTGAGGGGAGGAGCAATAGGGGGAGGAGGAGGAGGGAGGGGAGGAGGAGGAGAGAGGAGGAGGAGGAGAAGAGGAGAGGAGGAGGAGGAGGAGAGGAGGGAGGAGGAGGAGGAGGAGGAGGGGAGGGAGGAGGAGGAAGGAGGAGGAGGAGGCGGAGGGGGAGGAGGAGGAGGAGAGGAGGAGGGAGAGGAGGAGGAGGGGGGGAGGAGGAGGAGGAGTAGGAGGAGGAGGAGGAGGAGGGAAGGAGGAGGAGGAGGGGGAAGACGAGGACCAGAGTGACCCCAACATGCGTCAGCGATGCTGCAGTGCGCCCTCCCGTCCCAGGCCCCCTCCTCACAAGTAACGCCCCCCTGAGTGACGAGCGCCCAGTGTGCCGGCCGCTCACGCCAGACCGTTTCTGTACAGGATCCGCCCCCCACTGGAGGGTTTCTCCGACGGGCTTAGGCGACCCGTCCTCCTCCTCCTCCTCTCCTCCTCTTCCCCTCCCCCTCTCCTCCTCCTCCTCCTTCCTCCTCCTTCCTCCTCCTCCTCCTCATCCTCCTTCCTCCTCCTCCTCCTCCTGCTCCTCCTGCTCCTCCTCCTCCCCTCTTCCTCCTCCTCCTCCTCCTCTTCCTCCTTCTCCTCTTCCTCCTCCTCGCCCTCCCCTCCTCGGGTCGCCTACGGCCCCAGGGGAAGCCGTCCACCCCCCGATCCTTTCAGCAACACCAAGACGCAGGAGCTCCAGGCCCTTTCCAGCGAGAGGCCCGCTCGAAAGACTGGCCCGGCCGCGTGCGGGTCTCATAGCTCCAGGAAGGTCGGGCGATGAGCCTCAGCGGAGTCTCAGGCGATGGCCGACGGTTGAATTTGAACCGCTTTAAATCATAAGGTGGCGATTTGGTTGAAGCCTCCCTCGTCGCCTCAGCGCGGACCAACACACAGCGCGGTTCTGCGCCGCCCCGAACCCGCGCCGCGGTCCAGCACATGGCGCGGGCGGGTGCCAGCAAGTTTGACGAGTTTTTGTTGACCGAGGCGAGGGTTGAGATTTTGACAGGCGAATGTGCGCAGCGCCAAGGCGAGAGCCTTCTTTGGACAACCACCGGCCCTCACCATCCTTGCAGCTGTTGGGAGCTTTCCAGGCGAAAGTGCACGGCGCTATGAAGATCGTTATCTTTTCCACTATTCAATCGCTTCGCTCATTCCGCCGGCCCATATTGTCGCATCTTTTCCGTCTTCCTGAGGGCTCGTTGTGAATCTAGCGTCGTTCGAGTCTCTTGACAGGAGTCTCCTGGAGGGGCCTCTTGGGCCGTCTTGGGGCCATCTTAGGCCGTCTTGGGGCTCTCTTGGGCCCTCTTGGGGCCGTCTTGGGTGCCTCTTGGGCCGTGTTGGGGCCATCTTAGGCCGTCTTGGGGCTCTCTTGGGCCCTCTTGGGGCGCTCTTGGGGCCCGTTGGGGCCGTCTTGGGCGCCTCTTGTGCCGTCTTGTGGCCGTCTTGGGCCGTCTTGGGGCGCTCTTGGGCCGTGTTGGGTTCATCTTGGGGCGCTGGGTCTTCTTGGGCCAATCTTGATGGCCTCTTGGGCAGTGTTGGACGCTGTGAATCCTGAAAAGTTGCATATGGGGAAAAATACGCTTCCCCGTGGGCATTTGACAGTTTTTGCTTCTTGGGGCCTTCTTGGAGGACCTCTTGAGGCACTGTTGGGGCTTCACCGCGGCTTCTACGGCGCTCTGGGGGAGTGGGCCGGGACCTGGCCGGGGTACTCTTCGTCCGGGGGCCCTCAGCGGCCGTCCCGCGCGCGCGAACTAGAAATACAAGGACCCGACCCCGACTTGCCCAATCTCCCGGGGCGTGTCGCGAAACGCCAGCCGCCGCGGGCCGCGCCGCCCCGCTCACGAGTAGTGCGCGTGCCTGTGCGGGGTCGGCTGCGCCTGGCCGCCGACCTGCGCCATCTCCTGCATCTACCAGTTAACCAGTTACTGGAGATCTTGGCACACCTCTGGCCCGTTGGGCCGGCGAGTTTTGCCGATCGGCGCGGGCCCTCGCACCCCGTCCCCCATGGAGTACATCTCGGCTCTGTTTTTGGCGGTTGCTTCAAGCGGGTGGAGTCTCCCCCAGAGGACGCACTGTTGCAAGCAGTTGCAGGTAAGCAGCGGTGGGGCCCGATCTCCCCTCCCCCCCCCCTCCCCCGAACGTTCTGTCGGGCGTGTCCCCCTACAGGGGGATCTTCGACGAAAAACAAAAAATACCCCAAAAATGCCCCAAGAAGGTCAAACAATACCCAACAAATAGTCCCCAGACTATTTTTGGATTATTTTTGTAATATTTTTGGGTATTTTTTATTTTTCGTCGGAAATCCCCCTGCACGGGGACAGGCCCGACTTAACCCTGACGTCGAAACGCCGGATATCGGCGTCACCCCACCATACTTGTACTATGTGTGCGTCGCCCGCCCAGGGGCGACGCGCGCACCGAGAAAGCTAAAAGTAAATGCGTCGTGGCGGGCGCTCTCTGGCCACACCGCTCGGGCAACGAAAGACTACAAGATGGGAAGACGATATGTTCGGGTCGGACGCGCGCCTCCAAGGCGGACATATAGTACTAGTATGTATCTGTGCGTCCCAGGATAAGAGAGAGTTCACATGGCGAGACCCGCTTTTCGGAATCCACCGGCCCGGCATCCCTGTGGAAGCTGGGAGCTTTTGGCGTGCGTGCGGTGCTAGGTGCGAACGTCGTCTTTTGGAACCGAATCCCCTCCGTCCTTGTCAAGGTTTGATTTTGTGGTTTCACCAAACTCAGGAGGGGGAAAACACACAGACACAAGTAATCGTCGATTCCAAGGAAAATGTGCGAAAATATGGGGAGGGGGGGGGAAAACGAAAACCCCAATAATGTGGAAAAAGATGGGGAATCTTGGGATCTGTGTGTATTTACTTGTGTGCCCCTGGGCCCCTTCACAACAATGAGGCACCCGTTACTCGTTACTCACCACCCACCAAATCACTCCAACCCAACACGAAGACCTCAATTTGCCCTCCATTTCCAGTGGGGGGGGGTCGGGGAACATTGAAAAAACACATGGACCCCGCACCCCCCCCCCCCAACCCGAAATTCGAGTCAAATTCGGGTCTTCGGGTTGGGTTGGGGTGGTCTGGTAGGTAGTCAGATACGCATCAACGATGCTGCAACACGCTCCCGTCGCAACTCTTTTTTTCGAAGAAGAGAAACCACACAAACATAAACTTCTGGCGCTCCGCGCGGAGTTCTTGGATCCGCGCCTGGGCCCCCCGGCGGCGCCTCCGGCGCCGCCCCTGGCGCGCTCCGCGCGCCAGGAAGGGGGGTCCAGCGCGGATCCTAGAAATCCACGCGGAGCGCCAACAGTTTATGTTATGTGTTTTGTCTTCTTCTGAACACACGCTCCCGTCGCAACTCTTTTTTTCACACTCATCGTCTACTGTCGGACCGAGGCATAAGATCGAGGTCGGCTCGTTGAGGGCACCCCACTGTTCTTCGTGCTTGCTGGATCCTCTCTTGTGCATCCTGGGGGAGGGTACCCCCGAATGTTCTTCGGGCTGGTCGGCGGAGGGTCTCCTGTCCTGGGTCTGGCTGTGCCAGCTTCCATCTCACTGCAAGAGTCAGGAGGGGAAAAAACACACAGACACAATTAATCGTCGAGTCCCAGGAAAATAGAGGAAACTATGGGAATTGGGCGGGGAGACAGAAACCCCCCAAAATATGCGAAAATAAGGGGAATCATTTGATTTGTGTGTATTTATTTGTGTGTCCCAGGGCCCCTTCAAAGAGGCGCTCCCCTGAAAGGCCAGCACCCCCACGGGGGCCTGCCATTGTGGCAAGGGCCCCGTTTTGGGAAGGCGCGGCGTGGCACTCCTTCCGGCGAGGAGCAAGTGGAGGGTTTCTCCGAAGGGCTTAGGCGACCCGTCTTCCTCCTCCTCCTCCTCCTCCTCCTCCTCCTCCTCCTCCTCCTCCTCCGCCTCGTCTTCCTCCTCCTCCTCCCCCTCCCCCTCCTCTTCCTCCTCCTCCTCCTCGGGTCGCCTACGGCCCCGGGGGAAACCGTGCAGGAGCAAGCAGTGCCGACACTTGCAGTCCGGGCGCTGATGCAAGGACCGCTTTCGATTCGGAAGGGGCTCGCTGTTCCTTGGGTCCCTCCGTGGTTGTTCCTCTAGCCCTCCTCGTGCGCCTCGGCGCTTCGGGGGCCCAAACAGTGGGCTTTGGTCCTTGCTTAGCGTTCCTTCTGGTAGCACCTTAAGGTCAGGAGGGAGAGCGCACACAGACACAATGAAGTGTCGATTCCCTCGAACATGTTGGAACCTATGGCGAACATCCAGAACATATGGAAACATATGGGGAATCCTGGGATCTGTGTGTATTGATTTGTGTGTCCCAGGGCCCCCTTACTTGCTTGTACGAGCATACATCTCAGCGAGGTGCCCAGCGAGATCCCCGCTCTCCAGCGAGGTCTCTCTCTCCTCTCTCTTGGCTCCGACTCCCCCAGTGAGTGCAGCAACGCCCGAACAGTGCTGGCGGTCGCGCAACCCAGGGCTGCCCCACCTCGGTATCGTTTAACCGATCCCCATCCCCA